AGCATTCACTGCTCTATAAGAGAACAGATATCACGGAACTGTTCAGTATTCTTTACTTTGTTTATAACGAAGATTTTATGTTTCTTAATACTCTGCTTAGCTTTTAGAAGGCATCTTTATCTACTCCAATGCGCCTTCGGATTTCAGTGTCACACTTTCCGTCTTCTGTTAAAACATTTTCTAGATATTTAAATTTTTGTACTTATTTGATTTTGGTATCTCCAATTGATTTGTAATTTGTATTTTGGACTCATCCTTTTGCTAACAACCATGCATTCAGTTTTCTTACACTTGAAGTTTAATCCATTCTTCACACTTTGACATACTAATCTGTTAATAAGTCCGACAGTTACTGAATATATTTTCTGTTTGTACGTCATTTTAATAGATACAATTTAATACATGTCCTTTTTTTTTAAAATAAACAGTATTAATTATATTTAGCAGCCAGAATATTCGAGAAATTTCTTAGAAAATATGCGTTCTCCAAAAGGAATCGAACCTGTGTCTTATAAAGAACCATCAACTGATCTGACGTGCTATACCACTCAGCTACAGAATAGCGTCTGTTTAGCAAAATCCAAATTACTGTTTATAAATAACGAATCTTCGACAATCTTTCCCGAACGATCATATCTGATCACGAAACGTACCTTAACGTAAACACTGACAACATATTATGAAATGGATTAATCCGACAGTTATTTAATATATTTTCTCATTATACGTGTTGTGGCCTTGATAGGGCCAGAAATAAAGACACAAAGAGAGGAATTGAGTTAAACATATATATTAACAGAAATAGTAATACAAACATATACAAACAAGAGTGTTAGAGTGAGAATGTTCGGTTCGACTGTCAGAGGTGACTGCTGGAAACATCCCTCTGCAAAAAGACAATACCTGCTCCTGTTTATAGCTGGGAAGGTCCATGCGTGCGTGGGTAAATTACCATAACAATACGTTATTTTAATAAATAGATTTTATTTAAGTAAATGCTCTGTTATTTTTTAAATAAACAGTATTAATTACGTATACCGGCCTGAATGTTCGAGAAATTTCCTAAAAATATGCGTTCTCCGCCAGAAATCTAACCTGTGTCCTATACGAAAACATTAATTGATCTTACGTGCTATACCACTCAGCTACAGAGAAGCGTCTAGTTAACAAAGTCCAAATTACTGTTTATAAACAAAAAACAAAAATTTGAGTCACCCGCCTGCTACAAATATTGTATTCACTCCAAAATATTAATTCACTCTAAAATAAAAAGATGTTATATTTACTAAAATTCACACCAAATTATCATAGAGCGATGCCCTTCCATTGCACTCTGGTTGGGTTGCCCTTTGCAATCGCCCCAAATATGGACAAATTGGATGCACTATTTCTAAGCGTGGGCTCTGCGATCGCAGTCATCCTGATAAACATAAAAAAAACAGATTTTTTTTTTCTAGAAACTGCAAAATATTCTTTATTTGAACCTCTAATATAATCCGCATTTACGAAATGTTAATAACTCCTTGAATTCTGAAGATTAGATTTGTGAGACAAGCTAAACAAATTTTGATAAAAAATTTATAATTTCAAAAGAGTGCTATAAATTTAATACAAATCAAACCTTCATTTAAAATTTATAATTTCAAAAGTGTGCCATAAATTTAATAAAGATCAAACCTTTATTTAAAATTTATAATTTCAAAAGAGTGCCATAAATTTAATAAAGATCAAACCTTTATTTAAAATTTATAATTTCAAAAGAGTGTCATAAATTTAATAAAGATCAAACCTTTATTTAAAATTTATAATTTCAAAAGAGTGCCATAAATTTAATAAAGATCAAACCTTTATTTAAAATTTATAATTTCAAAAGAGTGTCATAAATTTAATAAAGATCAAACCTTTATTTAAAATTTATAATTTCAAAAGAGTGCCATAAATTTAATAAAGATCAAACCTTTATTTAAAATTTATAGTTTCAAAAGAGTGCGATAAATTTAATAAAGATCAAACCTTCATTTAAAATTTATAATTTCAAAAGAGTGCCATAAATTTAATAAAGATCAAACCTTCATTTAAAATTTATAATTTCAAAAGAGTGCCATAAATTTAATAAAAATCAAACCTTTATTTAAAATTTATAATTTCAAAAGAGTGTCATAAATTTAATAAAGATCAAACCTTTATTTAAAATTTATAATTTCAAAAGAGTGTCATAAATTTAATAAAGATCAAACCTTTATTTAAAATTTATAATTTCAAAAGAGTGTCAAAAATTTAATAAAAAACAGACAAACAAACTTTGATTTAAATTTATAATTTCATGGTTTGAATTAATATTTTCGATAAGTAAGTTTACATTATTTGGGGTGAATGAACAGAAAAAATATCAAAATTCAACACACGTTGAAAAAATGAAGATAGCTACTATTTTTGCTGCTACTATTAACCAAACAACTACTACTGCTGCTACTACTATGATCCAAAAACCAACGTTTTACCCTTTTTGGCTCACTCGGTAGGTAAGTGACATATTTTTACTTTCAACTTCCTTCGCCAATTTCACGAATTTAAAAGGAAACCGAAAAAAGACAATTCACGAATCTAAGAGAAATTACTGAAATCCTAAGAAAGCAGTTCGGTACACGTACAAGAGAAATATATCAACCATTCAGAAGAACCATTTACCAACTATGCAGAAGAATAAACATTCAGTAATTCCAAACAATTTGAGCTGTTAACAAAATTTAAAAACAGGCTAAAAATAAATCCACTTAGTATTACACTAAAAAAGAACATCTTAAATGGCTACATTTGAAAATGTTTCATCGCACGGATTTGCAGCGCTGATAAACACTGGCCACGTGGGACATTCCGTCGTAACCCTTCTAGATACAAACTGGTGGCCAAAAACAAATTTTCATTAAGAAACTTCTAGCACTCGTCTGATTTAACATAAACAACTATTACGCCAGAAGAAAGGATTCTTGTTGAAGAGACTTGTCTGTTTCGTTTTAATACGAGTGCTATGTGCAAACATTACAAATATGTTTGTAGTTGTACTTTGTGATATGGAATCATTAGACGTCGAATACCGTCAAATTTATCATGTTTTCTTTTTCTTGTCCTTTTTGATTTTCGACGAAATAATAGCTGATTTAGGTGCCTTATCATTTTATTTTATTCTATAGGTTTGTAATTTACTTCTGCTGTCCACGTTATTGTTGCTGGTTGTTTTTTTGTTTTTTTGTTTTTTTAAGTGGGCCTAAATATAAGTATTGGTTTCATTCTAGGGGAATGCATATTTATTGTTAATATTTAACGCCCTCCCCCGACGAAGGATGTATGTGACACAAGGCTGGTTTAGCGTGGGTTCTCCGAGCCCGTATGCTCGGCCAAAAATATTCCCTTTGAACCCGTATAAACGGGCTCAGGGCCTGTCTACTTCCCCGGACGAAACTTTGCCCTGCAACAAAGCTTCATCCGGGTTCTTCTCTGCCGAAGCAGAGATTTCGACAGTCATAAACTATTTGCAACAGGCAAACGTTTATGCATATATATTGTTACAGAAATAACAGTTTTGGTACAAGGCCGAAGTGGATGTGGGGCGAGACTGGTCAAGACTAACTATCCTAAACCTAGTTAATCAGATTCACGACCCATTCATTCTTTACAATTTACTCATTCATCACAAGAACTCATCCATCACCAATGAATCTGACATATACCACAATACTACATATTCACATGGATCTTACAAAAACACCCATGACATAAAATAAATTCATAATATAATCATCCTCGGGGAATGACTACTAAAAATACTCCCACCCCAAATTCATAGACAAATCCTTCAGACTCATGCAGGTATTTTTCCAAGCAAATTATTAAAAAGACAATTCTCGCTTAATACTCACAGATTTTTTTTCTTTCATGTCTTGAAGTCAGACGCCTAATACCATTTCATTGTATCCCTTTTGCGTGTGAAAACTACATCTATTTTTTGAACTTGTTACTTTGTTCCTGTCTTATAATTACTTTGCCTTGCATTACATTGTCTTATCTTTTATTATTTCCTATTATAATTGTTAAGAATTTTGTCAATTCTGCTTAAACATGTCTTCTTTCTCCAGTCTTTTCAAGAGAATTGTTAATTAGTGGATCTGACTGTAATAAATTCACTTCAGTCAAGTCAATGTTTTCTTATGATAGAGACCTCAAGAAAAAATAAGTTCCTTGTACCACTCCCAAAAGTATCTGACACCTCATTCCATTCTCTTTGTTTTCATGTGACCAAAAATGAAGTATTGCTGCCATATCTGGGTTGGAAATGCAAAATCTTCATTTTCCAGGCTTGACAGTGTTCAAAAGAATTTACGTGACCTTGTAGGTGATTAATTATTTTCAACTCTGCAGCTCCAATTTCCCAGAAGCAAAACATCACAGTCCTATCGCTACTCTGTTGCTATTTCCATGGCAAATGTTCAGACAAGGCACATTTTATAGTTCCACCAATTCAGCCATTTACAGCTCAGACCCACCATGCCGTGTACACAAAGGCGAATTATAAATACTTGCCTGTATCCATTTTGTGTGTGGACACTAATTTTTTATTTTGGGATCTTTTTACTTTTTACTTTGTCTTATAGTTGCTTTGCTTTGCCTTGTATTACATTGTCTAGTCTCGTATTATTTTGTCTGTTTCTTATTTCTTCTTGCTCTTATTGTTATTTGAGAATTTTGTCAATTCGGTTTAACTGTTCCCGGTTCCTCAACAAACAATCAAAAATATTTTTAAAACTTTGAAACTACACCCTACATTTCGTCTCTTTTTTTTTCCTTCTCCATGTACAAATATTATTTTTGGAATTATTTCACGTCATCGCCTAACACATTAAACGCCTTCTTACCGTTGTTTAGAATAAACTCCAGTGACATTAGCTGTGATAAGAGAAAGTGATAAGATTAATCAATCTTCTGACGTAAAATGAGCAGAAAGGATGAAACGAACTGACCTCACTCTCCTAAAAGTAAACGAGTAATCGTTCATACCATAATAACTGTGACGTAAAAGGAAGATTGCAGGGCAGAAAATAAGTTGTGTAGGAGAAGAAACCATGAATGAATTAGACTGACGACAAATGAATGAATGAATGAATGACTAAGATGGGTAATGTAGAATTGATTTGTGTGCAATAAAATATAATAACAACGTAAATTGAAAACGAGGCGAAAAGATTTCTGCAGATGAAAGACATCGGCAGATATATGAATGCATTTTCTAGAAATTTATTTCCACTATGAGTTTGTCCCTTTAGAAAAGGTTAAAACATTTTATGAAATTTTAGAAATAGATTAATTTAAATTGCGGCACGCCGTTCCAATACAGTAAGGTTAGATTTGATCGTAATAAAATCTATTCGCTTGATGTTTTATCGAAGCGGTCGCATCGTTTTAAATATTACTCTAGCTATTTTCGTTTTGACTACTTTTCCAACGGCTGTCTCTCTTTCTTTCTCCTTTTCCTTCTTTGTTCACTTTTTTCTTTCTCTCGCCTTTTTCTTCTTTCTTTTCCTATTTCTATTTCTTTCTCTCAACCTTTTCCTCTTTCTTGTCCTATTTTTATTTCTTTCACTCGGCCTTTTACTCTTTCTTGTCCTATTTCTATTTCATTCTCGCAAACATTTCTTCTTTCTTGTCCTATTTCTATTTCTTTCTCTCAACCTTTTCCTCTTTCTTGTCCTATTTTTATTTCTTTCACTCGGCCTTTTACTCTTTCTTGTCCTATTTCTATTTCATTCTCGCAAACATTTCTTCTTTCTTGTCCTATTTCTATTTCTTTCTCTCAACCTTTTCCTCAGTCTTGTCCTATTTTTTATTTTTTCACTCGGCCTTTTTACTCTTTCTTGTCCTATTTCTATTTCATTCTCGCAAACATTTCTTCTTTCTTGTCCTATTTCTATTTCTTTCTCTCAACCTTTTCTTCAGTCTTGTCCTATTTTTATTTCTTTCACTCGGCCTTTTACTCTTTCTTGTCCTATTTCTATTTCATTCTCGCAAACATTTCTTCTTTCTTGTCCTATTTCTATTTCTTTCTCTCAACCTTTTCCTCTTTCTTGTCCTATTTTTATTTCTTTCACTCGGCCTTTTACTCTTTCTTGTCCTATTTCTATTTCATTCTCGCAAACATTTCTTTTTTCTTGTCCTATTTCTATTTCTTTCTCTCAACCTTTTCCTCTTTCTTGTCCTATTTTTTATTTCTTTCACTCGGCCTTTTACTCTTTCTTGTCCTATTTCTATTTCATTCTCGCAAACATTTCTTCTTTCTTGTCCTATTTCTATTTCTTTCTCTCAACCTTTTCCTCATTCTTGTCCTATTTTTATTTCTTTCACTCGGCTTTTTACTCTTTCTTGTCCTATTTATATTTCATTCTCGCAAACATTTCTTTTTTCTTGTCCTATTTCTATTTCTTGCTCTCAACCTTTTCCTCATTCTTGTCCTATTTTTATTTCTTTCACTCGGCCTTTTACTCTTTCTTGTCCTATTTCTATTTCATTCTCGCAAACATTTCTTCTTTCTTGTCCTATTTCTATTTCTTTCTCTCAACCTTTTCCTCTTTCTTGTCCTATTTTTATTTCTTTCACTCGGCCTTTTACTCTTTCTTGTCCTATTTCTATTTCATTCTCGCAAACATTTCTTCTTTTTCTTGTCCTATTCCTATTTCTTTTCTCTCAACCTTTTCCTCTTTCTTATCCTATTTTTATTTCTTTCACTCGGCCTTTTACTCTTTCTTGTCCTATTTCTATTTCATTCTCGCAAACATTTCTTCTTTCTTGTCCTATTCCTATTTCTTTCTCTCAACCTTTTCCTCTTTCTTGTCCTATTTTTATTTCTTTCTCTCGAGTTTTTACAACTTTCTTTCCCTCTTTCTCTGTCTTTCCTTCATTCTCTCTCTCTCTCTTTGTTTCTCTCTATTTCTATCTTCATTTGGCTCTCTTTCTTTCTTTTTTCTCCATTTCCATTCTTTTTCCCTCTCCATTTCTCTTTAATACTCGCTTCCTCTCACTTTTTTTTCATTCTTTCTCTTTTTCTCTCTCTTATTCTTCCGCTCTGTTTTTACTTTCTTTTCCTGTGTTTCTCTCTGTCTTCTAAATCACAAAAGCATTTGAAAGGCCACACTTGTAATTCGTTGGAATTTCAGCTATGATCTCGATCCCTGTTATATATATTTTTTAAAAATGCTATAAGATTATTTGAATCCTACTTCTTCTTAGTCCCGAGTATGACGATAAACTACATCCGGCAGCAAGGCCTCTAATCGGGAGATTGGACATTTTTAGCAGTGTAGAACCACCTCTTAAATGTTGCTGTTTCCAGGTCCGCCCTGACCTGCGATGGTAGCACCCGTTAGGCTCCGAAGCTATGGGTAAATAGTGAACTTCACGAACAAAAAACTATCAAAGTATAAATATACATTTTTAGTGTAAATTACCAGCAACAAATTTTAATATAATAATAAAAAAATGATCAAAAATACATTTTATAGCAAAATGACCAACAGTATATTTTATCTTAATGCGTTTAGATTCCGACATTAAATAATCCCTAGATGTTGATATGATGCTAAACACCAACTAAACAATCATGAAATAGCTCTTTCATGACATTAATCCGTACAATATCCTACAATTTCTTAAAGAAATCAGACTGTATTCCAAAATATAACTTATAAGTAATACTACAATATAAAACTCATATCACCGCTTCTGGTAATCATATCCACACAAACATGTATATGCACAAAAGCTGAGTATCATTTACCATGTATTCAATTGTGAAAGCAGAATAACATATATCATATTTTGTTATTTCATAGCTCCCAAGAATATTAAATTTCGGCATCAAATGGCCCATAAGTAGTTAACATACCATTAAAAAAATATGAAACTTATTCTTCTATTTGCTGTGTCACTTCAGGACGTAGACGATCATGGTCATGTCAGGTGACATTACGAGTCTCATGAACATTACGTTAGTAAGGTATGGCATCCATAGCAGTTGCGTGTCTAGGGTAAAATAACCTTACTCAGGTAATATATCCCATTCAGCCCTGCTATTTAACCATAGGTATGTAAAGAAGATATCGATGTATACATTTCCCAAGGAGATTTCGGTCGAGGAGTAGATATGTTCGTCTATCGCCCGGCTCACACTCCTAGCCCTCGTCGGTCTTTCGAGCAGGGGGGATTTATCCCTTATTTCCTGTTTAGGATTGCGTTTCCGGTTCCTTCTAAATCCTTTTCATTCTCTTTCACTCCCAGTAGGCCCTTGCGTCTTTGTGTCTATGCTTGGCTTGAATAGTTTAAAAACAAATAACTTCTTCTATGTGCCGTGTCACTTCAGGACGTGGCCGGTCATGGCGTTCTACAACTTCCTTTCCTTTGTATTTTCACCATACCTCACAAGTTCAGTACTGACATCCATTTACAAAAGTTAATTTAGGAGTTACTCGCCGTTTCTCTCTCAAACCTTTGCCTTCAGTATGCCCTCTGAGTGTCAAATTCTCCAAGCACTCTTTCCTCATTATGTATCCGAGAAATATCAATTGTTTCGTTCACAAAGCGTCTAACGTCTCCGCCTGAATTCTGAACTATTATTTACTAATTATTTTTCCTCCACAGTAGATAGTTTAGCCTATCGCCCATTTGAACACAAGTAGAAGTTTATGCCTTGTTTCCTGTTTAGGGTTGGGTTTCCTGTTTGAGTTTGGATTTCCGGTTCCTTTTCTAGTCTACTTCTAACGTATCCGCCTGAACTCTGAAATTTTACTAATTTTTTTTTTTATTATTTCCGCCTCAGTAGGAGTAAACAGATTTGTCTATCGCCCGATTTATACTTCTTCCCAATCTTTTGAACAGGAGTAGAGGGTTATACATCGTTTCTTGTTTAGGAATGGGTTTCCGGTTCCTTCTAACGTCTTTACATTACCAGTAGCTTCTTGCGTCTTAGTAGCATTATCGCCTTGCTTGCGATAAATTGATTTAAAAAAAAAAGTGAATGTACCGAGTAAGGGGTGGAATCCTCACCTATTTGCTTTTCTGGGTCATTAACCGTTACACTACCCGGAGAACCTTGATGGACGCGTTTCATTCAAAAAGATCTAAATAATGTCCGTTGTAAATCTCAAAGCAGCAATTCTTTGATCATTTGCCGGACGTCATGAAAAGGTTAATGCAGACACTTTGCTCAAACTTGTCCTTCATCGGATTGATTCTAGAGATGCCCCCCCTCACACACACACTAAAAAAAAAACTCATAATAATTGAACGCGTATTCGTAGTCCCCGAGCCTCTTAGCAGACTGTCGTAGTAGACTAGGTATCACTTTACGTTAGATGTACGTGCATTTCCATTGAAATCTACAATCACCGTAATGCTTCAAGCCGTGTCATGCTCGAAATCATATTAAATTTACTTCTTTTTTAGCTGATAATCTAAATGATTTAAAATATCATCTCTATACTAATACACTTGCACCCAATGGAGGGTCATATTAGATAAAATCAGTTGGTTGTAGTAAAGAGTTAAATCGTCTTTGTAACCTATTTGTTCAGGAAAAATTCTCCCCTATACTGCAAGTGATCTTTTTAAATTAAAATATTTGTTTAATAATTATAATCATTTTTAATATCATAAAAATAGATGATGTTCGTCTAATCAACCATTTTATTAAACCCAGACTGTGATGAGAGGGGAAACAGAAAATGAGGGACATATAGCGAGTAAAACAAAAAGTGGAGAAGGACATAGCAAAAAAAGAAGTGCGACACAGAGAGGGATTGGAGGGGGGTTCATCTTAGATAAAAACAGTTGTTTGTAGTGAAGGGTTAAGTCATGTTTCGTGACCTAAAGAACTGCTGAGTGCTATTTTTTTTTAAAATTTTACTTAGAAAGCTAGAGGAAGAGATATAAAGAGTAAAAAAGAGAGAGGGAGCGGTGCTTAGAAAGAGAAAAAGAGAGTGTACGACAGAGAGATTATTGGAAATGTAGCCATCTTCAATAAAGTATACAGTGAGGAGTTAAATCGTGTTTCGTGACCTAACGCTATGTTAGAGACAATTTCGCCCCTGAACTGCAATGTACCTTTGCAGATTAAAATCTTTCTTTAATAATTATAATCATACACTAATATTACAAAAATAGATGATGTTTGTCTAATTAAAAATTCTATTAAGCCAGACTGTGTTGAACGTTCGAGAGCAGAACAGAAAGAAAGGGAGACATAAAGATTCAAACAAAAAGAGAGAGGGGGGCATAGAGAGACAAAAAGAAAGTGAGACAGAGAGAGGAATTGGACGGGGAGTCATCTCATATAAAGAAAGTTGATTTTTCATGTTTCGTGACCTAACGATCTGCTGAGGGCAAATTCGCCCCAGTAAGTGACTTTTTTGAAATTGAAATCTACCGTCGCGAATAGAAAGAGAGAGTGGGAAATGTAAATAGTAAAACAGAGTGAGTGAAACCAAGAGCAAAATTGGGGTGTAGTAAGAAAAAGAAAAGGGTGAGTGTTTATTGAAAATACGGTCACCTTAAGTAAAAGCAGTAGTAGTGAGTTCTGGGTATGACGATAAACTACATCCGGCAGTAGGCCTCTGATCGGGAAATTGGAGGTTTTGAGGAGCGTGGAAGCACGTTTTAATTGTTGTTCTTCTTCGATCCACCCTGACCCGGGGTGGTAGATTCTGTCAGGCTCTCGGCTATCGGTAAATAGTGAACATCCAAATAAAAATAAATTGAAAGTATAAAACTTCATTTTTATAGTAAAAATACCAGTAAAAATATAATATATATAATATAAATATAATATATAAAAATATAATAAATAAGTAAAAATATAAAATATAAATCATACTTATTATAAAACCCAGGTTGTGTGTGTGTCTGTACGTTTATATATTGGATCGGATTTCCTACATTTTTCAACCGATTTCAACAAAAACTTCACAGGACTACGTAAAATTACCTTGCCAGTGGTTCTGACAGCGCCAAAAATTGGAAAACACAAGTGTTTTTCACGAAATCAATTTGAAAACACGATTAAGAGGCATCGCGAGAATGAAAAGGGGACAACTCATATCGAGTTATACTTATTATAAAACCCAGGTTGTGTGTTTGTGTGTGTGTGTGTGTGTGTGTGTGTGTGTGTGTGTGTGTGTGTGTGTGTGTGTGTGTGTGTTCGTTTATATATGGGATCGGATGTGCTACATTTTTCAACCAATTTCAACAAAACTTCACTTTTTTTTGGCAGGTATCTTATCTTATTGTCTTGCACACTTTTTTCTTTATTTTTACATTCAGAATGCTTTAAAAATTCCATTTACAAGACAATTGTTTATAATAAAATTCTATTCAATCGGTAGACTCATAATGATTGAAAATGATGTTTTGTTCGAGTTTGGGTTTGACCAATTCGTAAAAAAAAACAAAACAAAAAAAAAACTAATTAAGACATGCGTGTCCGTCAACCTTAAACAATAATCTTTGTCAATTTTATTTTTCAGTCTTTATGATGGTCGATACTTGATCTATCTCTTACTGTTACATCCCCGGGCAACGCCGGGCTCTACTGCTAGTATAATATATAAAAATATAATAAATAAGTAAAAATATAATATATAAAATTTTATAGTAAAAATACCAGTAAAAATATATAAAAAAATTACTAACACTACATATCGAAAGCAAAAATGACCAGCAGTACATTTTATCTGTAGTGGAAATTATACGATTGCGTTCAAAATATATGTAATTGAAGCTATAAAATTGTTGAAATTATTTAGATTTCAACATTAAATGACCCATAAGATTTTGATGTACCGTTAAACAAAAATGTAGTGAAGGATTAAATCATGTTTCCTGTTCTAATGATATGTTAAGGACAAATTTCTTTTAAAATTCTTTCATAATTATAATCATTTTAAGATAATAAAAATAGATGATGTTCGTCTAATCAAAAATCTTATTAAACCCAAAATGTGATGAGAGTCCGAAGGAGAAAGAGAATGGCAGTCATAGAGAGTAAAACGGAAAGAGAGAGAAGAGCATAGAAACACATAGAGAGGGATTGGAGGGAGTCATCTTTGATGAAGGTAGCTAATTGTAGTGAGGGGTTAAATCTTCTTTCGTGACTTAACAATTTGATTGAGTA